ATAAAACTTTACAATAAATCCTTGCTGATGACATTCTTTATATGTGTTCACTTGTGCAAGGACATTTTTGTTTGCTTCTAATCTGTTAATGTTTTAGTGTCTAAGATGGTGATCACTATGTGTGACCAGTCTGATGGTCTGTCATGGATTGTATCCTAGCTACCAGTGGTTTATGTGCCCAGACTTGACCATATACAGACAAAGGGCGATGGGGTAGTCTAGTGGTTAAGGCCTTCTCTCATCATGCTGAAGACCCGGGTTCGATTCCCCACATGGGTACAATGTGTGAAGCCCATTTCTGGTGTCCCCCGCCGTGATATTGCTGGAATATTGCTAAAAGCGGCACAAAACTAAATTCAATCAATCAATCAATCAATCAATATATATATACAGACAACTGTGACATTGCTGGAATATTCCTGATTGTAGAGTAGGGACTTTCACTAACTAACTATCTTATATAAACATGAAACGTTTATCAATAACTTTTTCATTGTTTGTAGTGATGTTTCAGTGTTCTTGTCCTTTTCTGAGTTTTAATGATGTAATGAGACAAAGTGAAACCCAAATACCTCTTATTTGATATTTTAAGCCCTTTAGCCTTTAGCTTCTGTTGTAAGAAGATAACACACTCTCTTCCTTCCGTATGTACTCCCATGGTACAGGACCAGCTGAATCTGCCACTTGTAAAAACACATGAGTAGTACTTGTAGTTCCTCAACAAGTGTTACTCCGGAGCAGTCAATCTGTTTCCTCCTGTACCAGTTGCTGGTTGTCCTGGTTGTCGAGATGGTGATAGTGATGGAGAGGACGAACCCCAAGTAGTCCATGGGCTGGTATCGGCCAGTCCACAAGGAAGTAGCAGAATTACTTGTCACTGTTAACTAGTTGGTAGACCTGGGACATATAGCTCCACGTCTTATTTCCTCATTTATTGAAGGTCACTGTGACTTGGGTAAGATCTCAAGGCTGCAGGATGTGGTATAATTGGATCTCGTTTCCTTGTTGTCTAATTGGTTTGGTAAGACTTGTTCGTAATGTATGTTTGAAAGTATTATGTTGCTAGCATCAGGAAATATGGATGTTATTACTGTTAGTTTTTGTAAACGAAAGTGCAAAAGAAGAAAGAAAAATTAATAAATAGATATTGTAGATGTACCGTGGGCCATTTGTTGAAACACGATGAAAAGCAAAACAAATTATATACAGAGGAAGTATGGATAGATGATGACTGGATTAATGAGAAATATGGATGCTGTACTTTTTTATGTGAAATAGATCAGATCAGATATATTGGTTGACATTTTTGAAAATATGGATGCAATGTATCTCATTGTTGCTTTTTGTTTATTTGGTAAAGTTTTGAATAGTTGGTTACTCTTTTTGCTGTCAGTAAACTATTGTTTCTTATTGAACAGAAGGTTGGGAAAATGTCGAAATCGTTATTATCGTTCATCAAGAGCGTTTGACAAAGAGACACAGCAGTTTTGTTTGCGGTTCAGACTGAAGTTGGGTGCAGTATTCTGCTACGTCATGGATGTTTGTAGAGGCAGAGTGTAGGACGGAGCCGCTGATGACGGCAGTCTCCTGAGCCCAGTGCGACGAGCACTGTGACAACCTTCAACATTTACTCTTAGCTACTTCCCGATAGTTTCTCAAACAATGGACCTGAGCAGCATCTTAAGTGAGTTGACGTTGATTCCGGCGGCTTGTGTCTGTAGAACGACTGCACCACGTGGGGAGCACTGAGGAGGTTACCGAGTTCAGTTTGTTTACGCCATTGCCGTCAGATCCTTCGTACTTGCTTGCGTCAGGTGCTTTCTTACAAACTGCCTCAAAGAGATTCTGAGAAGGGATGTTGTTGCTAAAAATAGCTGGTTTCAGTGATCATCTGGACTGAGACTTTCCCTGGGTTCAGCTTGTGGCCTGATGACAGAGTTGCCGGTTTCCACTTTGGAAGTTGTTGTTCACAGTATCAGTTGCAAATTTTTTTATTATTTTTTTTAAATGCCAGTAAGATTTGTTTGTAACAGTAACTAACGGAAGTCATTAACAAAAGAAGACTGTAGTGTTTGAGAATCATGGTTGCTATGACAGCAGGTGTGCCATAAATATGAGCAGAAATACATTATATTTTTTTCTATTTTACAAAAATGAGAAAATTTTCTACTTTTATTTGTACGTAAGAAACCCATTAATGCTTGTTTTCATGAAACAAAGTTCAAACTTATCTTTCTCTTCTTATCTTAATTAGAGATTATGTATTTATTCCTTAATTCTCCCCTCTGGCCCTCCCTCCACCATGACCAAAGTTTTCAGTTGTAATATATATATAAATGTATATATATCAAAGGTTTTTTTATGTTAAGGTCTACACATGTCAGCTTTATACATGTGCAGCTTCTACACTAAACTTTCAAAGGCTTTGTGAAATATAGATAGGTAGTCTTTTCACTTCCCCTTTATCTTACTTATCAAGCCACAAGTGGAAATATATTCCAGTCTTTATCAGTAACTTCCACCAGACTGTCATCTACACAGTTTCCCTATTATGCGTTGCAACGTACCATGCTTAGTCATAAGCCATTATCTCTAGATTTGAGTGTGACCTACTTCTCTTGATGACCAAGGTACAAACTTATGGCTCTAAGGGACTTGACTATTTAGGCTATCTGCAGCTTGTTTGTCCAGGGCTGGATGTACATATATATAGGGTAAAGATAGTGGAAGTTTGGATAAGTGTTGGGCGGGCTCAGTCTACCCTTAGAGGGATTGTGTAGGCTTTCCGCGAGGAAGAGGAAATAGTTGTTCCTCGTATGACTTTCCTGCCTGGTAACGTGCAAGTTGCAACCTGTGCCTATGGAGATTATCTACCTGTCTGGGCAGATGGCCAAGTTCTGGATCCTGTGATATGACTTTGTGGTGACCTAAGATTGCACAGTCACACTCCCGACTTAGCTGACACCAATATTCCATATTATATATGGTTATATCAGCAATAGATCAAGTGTACACAGTCCACTACTGTTTGTGTTGAGTGTTAAGTTTCGTTGTGGTTTGTTCCTGTAAAGTCCAAAAATAGCCAGGTCGAGTCTAGATGAAATAAATTACTCAGTAACATGTATTTCCTTTTTTTTTAATTTTTTTTTCGTGTTCAGTTAGGAAAGTTAATGTCAGGTGACGACTGTCTATGGCGGAGAATATTTCTCATCTCGATATTTAGTATCGTCACACAAGTCATGTTTTGTAGAAGAAAATAATCATCATGTAAACAACATCATAATAAGTATTTCAATGATTTTGTTATACTTTGTTTGGAACAAATCAGAAAAATGCCTTGTTGCAGTACACACCCCACAAACAGATTCATTCAGAATTTTGTAGAGATAGCAAGTATTGTCCAAGTCATATTTTGTAGAAGTATCATGTGAATGTTTAGTACATTTGTCTTTAACAACTAGGGTAATTATTGCCTGGCTGCCCCATTTGTGTCAGCTGCAGTATATTTCCCCCCATGCTTTAAAAGTACGTTTTAGGTCATTGCCATGGATGGATATAGCTCCTTGGCTCCTTGAACAGAGTATTGATTATCTTCAGCCTCTAAGATCCACCAGATCGTTACATACATAGTAGCTACAATGCCGCCATATGTCAGATATAGCTCACATGAAAGCTGTATATCCCAACCGGGATATAACAGTTGGGAAGCATCTGTGCATGACAGTGTATCTCGTACGGCCTAGAGACATGTGTTCATGACGTCATGTCACACGTTGCTAGGATAGATATTAGATTGTAGATATCAGAAACGGAATATGTAACACGCAACCTTGACCTTTTCATTACTGGTCTGATCAATATGGTACAATGGAAGGCTACCGTTCTAATTGATGTCAGGATCGTGGAAGCGATGGCTGATGTTGGCTAAATGTGTGGCAATCATGCAGATCTGTGATTGTTATGGGGAGACATGGGAATAGTGAAGTGTCAGCCTGACGTTTAATGAGTTCCAGTAACAAAGCTGTCTTGACAACAGCACATACCCTTTCTAGAAACATTTTTATCTCATCAATGTTCACATTGTCTATGAAGATGTAATTTCTGAAATATCACAACTAGTTTTAATTTTACTTCTTTTCAAAGCATCACATGTTACTTTTTGGTACCAAAATGTCTCTGTTAGTTAAAGTTAAAACCATTCTTTTCTATGGTATTACTGTGCCATGGTATGACAGATTAACTGTAGTAAAATGTAGGAATTGGATAATCTTTAATCTTAGTGAGTGAGTTCAAAATTTACGTCACATCGGCATTTTTTCAGCGACGAGACCAAGTTTGCACACATACACGCCTTCTTTAATCTTAGAAAGGTATAGGATATATTGATTATAGCATTAGGAATTAAAGAATAGTGCTCTGGATTGAAATATTTCTGAAGTCCACATCCCAAGGATGACAGTGTTAAGGAAATGAAACTTCCTTGATTGTGTGTATGGTGTTGCTGACGATGTCCGTGCCATTGCAGTGTCCTACCACACAAGATACAGTTGTCATGCTATAGCTACATAGACTCACACTGTTTTACACTGATCTAGATTTCAGATACATTTTGTTGATGTCATGAAATTTCAGTTAGGGAAGATAGCTTTCTATTACGACAGACAACAAAACATCACAAGACATACACAATAATCTCCCATAGAATGAAATGGGATGATTCGTTCCAAGGGCAATGTGAACCACTGATTGCTGTACAGATAGGAATGGTAGAGCACTAATACTGCCCTGGATGAATGTTGTACCTAGTGACTAGGTTTGATTAAGAATATGCGCCACTTCCTGGAATAAGCTTGAAGTGCTTGTAAGAAGTGTCAAGAATATGATTACCCAAGATTCCCTTTGCAGTCGTTCCTGATTTGCGCTCTGATGCCTGAGTTTAGTGTATTTAGTGCTATTTGAATTGTGTTTCAGTATTTGTAACACTTGTTCTTGTATTCCAGTGGATGCTTGTGAACAGCAACAGAAGAATGGCCGCCAAGTGGCAGCAGAGGCATTGCTTAGCATGGATTCCCCAACTAACAGCATGGAGAGCAAGACCTTTCTCCATGGGATCCTGCACGATCAGCAACGTAAGTAGTCCACTATCACATCCCCCTGTCAATCAGTCTTAACTGTCATGTTCACGTCAGCTACTTTCACACCATGTGAACATCACAATACCTCCTTGCAGTCTATTGTCACATCCTTCTACACCACAGCAACATCCACACCATTTGGCCATGACATCCCAGACAGCACACGACCATGTTCATGACACCACGTTAACATGATAATGGGGCAGCTTAGTGGTTAAAGCGTTCGCTAGTCAAGCCGAAGACTTGGATTTGATTCCCCGCATGGATGCAGTATGTGAATCCCATTTCTGGTGCCCCTCGCTTTAATGATGTCCCTAGCAGTGATATTGCTGTAATATTGCTAAAAGGGGCTTTAAAGTATACTCACTCACTCACTCTACATCATGGTTCTTGCTGCAGTGCATTTGGCTTCCAGTGGTTCCCTGGCCTTAGATCAGAACCTAGCCTCTGTGCAGGCACCTTGTTCCAGACTGTATTGGAAAGAATTCTCCAGGTGCTGATACACAGGACACAGTATAGAAGACAAAGTTATTGCAACAAAGGGAGCAGTCCTTTCCATGAGACAGTCTCGCTATTCACATAAAAGTTGCAACATCACTGTTGATGTAAGACATTTGGAACCGAATCTGTGGCCTGTTGCTACCAGACCTCTACCTCTTGCAGGGGCGGTGGGGTAGTCTAGTGGTTAAAGCGTTGACTCGTCACGCCGAAGACCCGGGTTCGAATCCCCACATAGGTACAATGAGTGAAGCCCATTTCTGGTGTCCCCTGCCATGATATTGCTGGAATATTGCTAAAAGCGGCGTAAAACCAAACTCAGTCAGTCAGTCTACCTCTTGCAGTAACAGATACTGACCTTGTGACTGTCACAATACTGACTCCAAAGGAACACTGAAATTGTTGTGATTTTCTGTTCTTCAAATTTAATACAAAAAGCCCTAAAGAGTTAGGATTTGTTTTTGTTGCTGTGGTTTGGATGACACCAGGTGTTCACAAAAGGATTATAAATAAAAGCAACGAAAATAATTTTCTTAGTCATAGTATACCTCAACTAAAAAGCTCAGTACATTGTATAATTCTGACTTTTATCATTAATATGTGTTTTCTGAATAACCACCAAACAGTGCTGACACCAGGTGTTCATGAAAAGTATTGAAATTGTATTTTCCTTATCACTGTTTATAGGGATAGTTGTCATGAGGTTAAGTTTATCAGTTTGGGCTTGATTTGAGGTTTCATTTGATGTTTGACAGTCATGTTGCTCACACATGAAAATAGTCCTTGATTTGCAACTATGGTATCAAAGACCTCAAGATTGGTTGCCAGATGTTTTGTTTTAAATGTAAAAAACCTATATGTTCTGCAAGCCTTGTTTTTTTTTCGGATTAGATTGAGAATCAGTGTAACATGTACTTTAACATAACCTTAATGCCAAGCACAAAAATACCGGGTCAAGAATGTATACAGGTCGGCATAACAGTCAGTTTTAGATAACCGCTATATTTAGAACTGGAAATATAATTCTAGTTTCGTTTTTCTTTTCAACTGGTTCTGTTTTTGAAAGGCTTTCCTAAATATCCTACCTTATTCACATATGAATTCAAGCTACATTCAGGTTCAGGGTGGCGTGAAAAGCAGGCTTTCAATACCAGTTGGAAAGTATAGAAACATTTTGCGAGCACAAAGGCTTGCAGTCTGCATTCATACACTTTATGATCATGATGATACAGCTCTTTCCGCCCCAGTGGGGAATAAAGCTACATAACATGATAGCGGTCTGCATTGACAGTTAACCAGTAGTCTTATTGAGAAGTGTAAAAATAGATGAATCTATCATGTGATGCACCATGTGTTTTGCTCATTTTGAATTTTAGTTGAGAAATAGTTGAAATTAATAATTATATACTTCTGTCATACACTCACCAAACAAATATTTGTAAGAGCCTAATCCTGATGAAATGTACCTATGTTAATGCAGATGGGATTGACATGTTTTGGAAATAGGAACATTAAAATATACTAAGTATTAGACCTTAGCATTAAATATATTGAGTATGGTATTATTTAGTGAATAATAGCTTATATGTCTGACTTTCTATAGATTTACATCAATGTTCAATAAAGAGTTAAGGTAAAATTACAGATTAGTCTTCTAAAGTGATATACCGACTTGTTGCTTGTGTAAGTAAGTGATACTGTGAGTGAGTGAGTTTTAGTTTTATGCTGCTTTTAGCAATATTCCAGCAATATCACGACATGGGACACCAGAGTGGGCTTCACATTGTACCATCGTGGGAAATGAACCCACGTCTTCAGCGTGACGAGCCAATGTTAACCACTAGGCTGTGTAAGGACAGGTTTAGTTGGAGGCAGGTTTCGGGAGCTGCAAGATGCACTATAAACTGAGACGAACAACTGCACATCTGGTGCTTGGGGTTGACATGACAATGCTAACACTGGGCATGGCATGATAAGTGTTGAGCATGTTGCCGGTGCGGGGGAGGCATGACAGCCATGCAGAAATCACCACATCAATTTGCGGTGTTAGCATAGCTGGGATACACGGTGAGACCCAACGTCCCAGCCTGCCTTGCCTTGTGTTACAGGCTGGCGACCGTGTTTGCTCGGCTGTGTTTAATTATGGATTTGTATGTTGAATCCATGCAAACCTTATGCTCAAACTGTGATCTGCCGCACAAGTCTGTTGCTAAATGTCTGGCGTAGCATTTCCTCCATTACTGATGCTGTGTCACCAAGTGCATCCCCTGTACTCCCCGCCTCGTCTGTGTGGAATTGCCATGGAAATGCCTGTGTCACGTGGACCTGAACTCGCCAAGTCAGGAAGAACAGGCAGATTTCCATGTTTGAATACCCGCCATCTCCGTGGCCAATGAGAAGCTCACAAACAAGCCCCTGCACCCTCTGACATGGAGTCACAGTACCAGAATCGCCATGACTACTGCCTCATTGCAAGCACCTGTCTTCTGTTTGTAAACAACATAATCGATCAGATTATTGCAGGCTGTATGCTGAGTGCTCTTGCCAGCACCATATATGGCCTTTAAACTGTCAAATAAACACTACTGAACTTTTGGTAAGGATATTCCCAGTCCATGATAAACTTTTGTAATATACTACTGAACATTTTTAAGGACCACACCTACTGAAGATGATTTTGTTCCCTTAATTGTTCAGTATGAAATAGCATGCTTATCAAATGATGAGAAGTACTGAGCAACCCCAGCAATGACGTGCTTGTTCAGCCATCGAGAGAACAATTTATATAATACTGAATATGTAAATTCAGTGAACCTATTTTACATTAATGCTTAATATTCATCTGTGTGTGTTGACAGAGGAACCTGTTGACATTCATACATGAGTTTGGTACAATTTTTATTTATTTTGGAAACAGTGGAATACAATATTTTGTTTTTGTGATGAAATTGTTGGACAATATAATCTGCTAATTGTACTGTTCTCCAAAGTACTAGTTATGGATATTTCTTTTTAAGAATACCCTTATATTACATTCAACTATGGTAAAAATGATTATTATAAATTGTTAAATTTCATGAGGAAAACAAAGCATTTGCATATGAAACAACAAAATGATTACATTTTCATCAGGGTTCAATTCTCCACATGGGCACAATGTGTGAAGCCCATTTCTGGTGTCCCGAGCTGTGATATTCCTGGAATATTGCTAAAACGCATAAAACCCAGATATTCCTGGAATATTGCTAAAACTCGGCATAAAACCCAGCTCACTCACTCACTCACTCACTCACTCACTCACTCACTCACTCGTTTGATTAAACTTTTGTCACTGTGCCCGATGATCATTTTGATGCAAATACTGCATTTGTGGACCTGAAATAAGGTCCCTCCTTTTAAAATCAAGTATACTAATGAACCAATAAACAAATTTGATTATGTATTTTGCAGCCTCTTTGCCTCCCAGTCCTGCCGACAGCGGTGTCTCAGATATTGACAGCAACTCCGACGACATAAAAATGAGATTACACGGTTCTTACAGTAAGTAGTTACCTATGTCATAAATGTACGACTTATCTTTAATTGGCATTTACAGAGGTGCAGCATCAATGAGTTGACTTCTATACGATCACAATACCTGTTTGTTAATGTCTGTTAACTCTGTCTTCATAATCTTGTCGACCGCCTCCGTGGTGTAGTGGTTAGAGTGTCCGCCCGGAGAGCGAAAGGTCGCGGGTTCGATCACCGACCGTGTCATACCAAAAGACGTTAAAATATGGTACTTGTTGGTCCCTGCCTGGCACTCGGCATTAATGGGTACAACAAGGACTGGTCGGCTCGGAGTCAGTATAATGGTCTGAGTGGGGTATCATGCTTCACTGCGGCATGGTATCTCAGTGGGCTAGCACTATAAAACCAGCTTCAGTCTGGGCTAGTACAAGCAGCCGCACATACACATACACACGCATGCACGCCGTCATATGAGCGAAATATTCTCAAGCACGACGTTAAACCCAATTTCACCTCACCTCACCTCCATAATCTTGTCAGCAAACCGTCATGGCAATTACTTGTTTGTTGATTCAGCCTTGTATCACAGGGCTGAACTAATTACAAACATGATAATCAAGTTGACTGGCTGATTTGCTTTTCCAATATGTGTATTTTACCCTGGTATAGAAATGTAACTGATGAATTGTTTCATGTATTTTTCAGCATTCATCCCAAGTCCCCCAGTACCTGGCCCCAGTCCGTTCATCCCCCCATACTGCCAGCCACCCCCAGCACACCAGCCCCTACCCGCACACTTCAACACAGCTACACATATCGCCATGAGACCAGGTGAGTTTATCCCATCTATAACAGTATTGTTACACAACGTACCTAGTGAAACCGTATTGTTAGCGTACATATCTATTGTGAACTTACACTCCCTAAACAGTAAGTCTGGGACGATACGATACGTATTGCGATATTTTACCTGCGATACGATACGTATCACAAAACATACAACTTGAAAGACTTAAGTATTAAGATTTAGAATTATTTATTTCAAGGTAATCGTGTAAAACAATAACACTATTGTAATAAACTAGCAAGAAACTCTATCGTACTTGCCTATTTTTCTCTAAATAAGTACTTAAACATGTTTAAGATAAAACTGTTTTGAAAAAAAATTGTGTATTGTTTTGTATCGATACACCAGTCGACGATATGATAGCTGTATCAAACTTAAATGTATTGCGATGTATCGTAGAAAATCGTCCCAGCCCTACTAAATAGTATTGTTGGTTACGTGTAACAGAGCTTCGGTACGTATCTATTACATATAACATGGTAGTTTTAAGTTAGATACCTATATATGATAGTTTTGTTGGGTACATGTAACGTGGAATTATTGACACATATATAATAGTTTTGGTTACATTTAACATGGTAGTTTTAGCTTAGATACCTTCATATAACAGTATTGATGATTACGTGTAACATAGTATTGTTAGCCTTTGTGTCTATTGTTACCTTAAATATGTGTTGTTAGCCTACATATTTAATGATGTTATTGTTAGCCTATGTGTCTATTGATTATAGTAATGTTACACCACATACCTATTGAGCATAGAATTGTTCACCTACTTGTCTGTTGATGTTAGTATTTACCTATTAAATATTGCATTGTTTGCCTTCATATCTAATGATCAAAGTATTACTAGTCTACATGCTAGTAGCTGTATCAAACTCAAATGTATTGCGATGTATCGGTGAATCGTCCCAGCCCTACTAGATAGTATTGTTGGTTACGTGTAACAGAGCTTCGGTACATACCTATTAATCATAATATTTTTAATGTAATTGTCTATAGATCAATGTATTGCTACCCTTCATCCTATTAATCATAGTATTTGTTAACCGTCTGTCATTATATTCATTTTGGAAGCCGTGGTGGCTGAGCGGTCTAGGTGTCTGACTTTGTATGCTGGCAAATAGGTGCCTGACTCTGAGGGTGTGGGTTCGAATCCCGGATGGGACTCAAACTCCCAGAAAAGTACTAGAATCTGTACTTTACTAAGAAAGTGTAATCCCAAATATAACATATGTTACTTTTGACTACCCTTGCTATTTGAAACAACATTTCTAGTATCATGTAACCTTTAGTGCAAAATATGTTTATAAATCTATTGTTAAATGATCCATAGCACTGAAAAAAATACCTGTAGTTTGAGAGAAAAAATATCTGCATCACAGATTAGAAATTAAGGGGTATTTGTTAGGTGATATGCTTCTATTTGAGTCTTATTTTGGCATTCAACAGTGTTTTGATACAGCCAGTCCATCCCAGGTGTCCACAAAATCTGTGTTATAGCACAGCAGGTAGCTACAGCAGATGTAGGGTTAGCACAGTAGGTGGATACAGCGAATGTTGTAGGCGACACTCAATACCATATGCTGACATAAGACATTAGCCACAAAAAAAAGCTAGTATTGCAGTCAGTAAACTTGTCAGAAACCAAAAATATTAGGACATTTTCGTGAGTCCATCCAAATTTTGGCACTACATGTTCTCTTCCATTTCCAAAATATTTGTCAGACATTTTTGATGACGTCAGCCAGTGTCCCAGAAACTGAACCGATCAGAAAGCCTAGCGTAATTCATACCATCTGCTGCCATGATCTGTTTTGTGTCATCTTGTAAACAAAACTATCAAGTGAACTTACAGAGGCGTAATGGCAGTAACGGCTGAAATATTAAATACGATCTCGTACTAAAATCTGTTTCCTTAGTCTGTAGGAGTGGAACCAAATTTGTTTTGTGTTGTGTGCAGCTGACTGACATTATAGATGAATTAGTTGGTGGTGTGTATGTTTAGTTTCAACAAGTGCTATTAGGTGTGGAGGCCACAGTTCAAACTATACGGCGGCTGTCTGGACAAGCCTAAATAACATACTGCCTACGATATGATTTGAAAACATCACAGGTTAACGTACCTGGGCTCAAACACACTCAATGACTTTATAGTCCTAGTTTATGTTTGCCCTGAAGGTACAGCAGAATATATTAGCTGTCTGTCATATTGATGAAAAGTACCTTATCATAAAAATCGATTCTTGTTAAAACTCACACAGATGAAGTTTTGTTATGTGTCACATATATAAAAAATGGCTGATATGCTGAAAAGTGTACCGAATAACTGATAAAATATCAGGGGGATGTGAATATTAAGCTTTTCATCATTAACGACATCCAGATCTATAAGTTGATACTCCGATATTGCTATGTTAGTGCCATGGTGACTAAACCAAACAGTGTGTATATTTAGGAGATAAACAAACTGTGTTGGAAAATAAGAGGTATATACTGAAACTATAATAGCTCTAAATGTGATTTAAAACCAAACGCGTGGTGTGAGGTTTTAAATAAAAAATTTGAGTTATTATAATTTCGTTATGTGCCTCTGATTTTCCAACACAGTATGTTTGTCTCCGTTCTACCATAACCGCGTTATTAAGATTTTAAAAAAATACACACTGTGTTGGAAAATCAGAGGTATATAACGTGATTATATACCTCTGAATGACCTAAATTAATTGATCACAAATCCAGTATTTACTGAAGTCATGGTAGAATGTATTAATATTAGTCCTGAAATACAGTTTTAGTAAGAACAAACAAAGCCAGGTTAAATCTGGTGCCTGAACATTGTCCTGATGCGACAGGAAAAGGTTAGATGGTGAGGCAGCAGAAACTACGGAAATGAAGTGTTTGTCTATACATACTAGGTAATAGCATGGAGGAAATATCAGTGTAGTGAGTAGAGAATCACACTTTTCACTGGTGCTATTGTGGTGGAAAGGAAACTTCACTGTGACAGTGTACGATTACATCTGGCATTTGGAGGCCATTTCCCCAACTTGCCATAATTGTGGCTATAACTTGACCCGCCCAACTGTGATTGTGGATGTTGCGAGTTTGAAACGAGGTCAGCGTTATGACTGAACACAATTGTAGTGTTGAGTTACAGAGAGACAATAGGCATTGAAAGGATCAGAGGGAGCTCTGGTACCTTCCGAGAGGAAGGAAAAGTTTAATGTTGCACTTATGGAAGCGTATATACATTATTTGTAGGAACTTTATCATGTTGATGGGATCTTTGGGATGGTTATGAAAAGATGAATGCAATTTTCTTAATTTTGAAAATGAATTTAGATTGAATTATAATGGTACCAGCTGGTGTCTACAATGGTTGATTGTAACGATTCTTTTCTCTGATTTTTATGAGGTAATTTACATTTTTTCTCTTGGTGGTTGGTTGCTATGTTTGAATGAGGTTAGTGGGAGTGTTTTATGTAGCGGGCAATTTGGTATTTTGTGAATGTACATTGCGCTTTGTGGAGAGGGAGTATTGTGTTTTATGAATTGCGTGGTTAGGGCCTTTTGTGCTTTATGTATAGTGGAATGGGGTAACAGAGTGGTTTGTGAATTGTACAATGTTAGTTTCCTTGAGTGTAGCTCACCTGGACAAAACATTCTCGGGAGCTTATGCCATAGCACATGTCTGTGAATACAAGTGTTAACACAGCCACCATGGCAACTTATTAAAGGTGTGAACAAGTCTCTTGTTGCTATTCGTGGTTTGCTATGGAGGAAAGTTTTGTGTTCGCTGTCCCTCACCATGAAAATGCTTGAATATTGCAAAGAAGGGAGAGAAAGCCAACTCATTCGCTCCCTTCAGTGTTGACATATGTCTAGTTATTTTTACCTTCAACTGATATGTTCAGTCTGAAGCTAAATATCTGACCCATTGTTATGACAAGTTAATGTAAACTTGGTTGAATATTTAATGTAAACGTGAGTGATGATACAGTCTCACAAAATAGGTGAGTGAGTGAGTTTGGTTTTACGCCGCTTTTAGCAATATTCCAGCAATATCACAGCGGGGAACACCTGAAATAGGCTTCACATTTTGTACCCATGTGGGAAATTGAACCCAGGTCTTTGGCATGACGAGTGAACGCTTTAACCACTAGGCTACCCCCACCGCCCATGAAGTAGTTGAGCTACAGAACCCAACTGCACTTTCCATAGCAGCTTTTCATGTTGTTTAACTTGTGTTGGATAGAAAGCGAATTATGAACACACTTTCATTGATTTGTTTTCTTAAAAGTATAATTTCCCAATAAGTGAGGAATAAATCAAAATGCTCAAATAAGGTGTGCAGGCATTGTTGAGGGAGCTGATGATTGTGGACCCAGTACTAAATGATGTGTTTGTTTCAGACCATGTGTATCAGAACAACCTCCTCCCCACACCAGTCCAACACGCCGGCAGTGAAGGTTCACCTAGCAACACCCCTCCAGCATCACCAGACAGACCCAAAAGCAGAAAAGGTTTGTAGTATTGATACAGCTTTTTATCTTATACACCCATGCTTCAGCAACCCTTGACGTAAGACACAGCTAACAGGATTGGGTGTCAGGCTCACTAACTTGGTTGAGACATGTCATTGTATCAACATTGCGTAGATGGATGCTGATGCTGTTGATCACTTGATTGTCTGGTCCAGGCTTGTTTTCTAACAGACTGCCGCCATATTGCTGGAATATTGCTGATTGTGACCTTAAACAACAAACAAACACACATTTTATTATATACGATGAAGTGAGATACTGATCATTGGAGAATATAAAGTCCTTGTTGCTGTTGAATGGTGATAAATTCAAAATGTACTTCCTGAAACAATGAGTATGCTTTTGACTGTCTCTTGGGTGATATGTTGTAAGGAAACACATAGTGCTAGGAGAAATTGCAATGATCAACAGCTCAGTTTGTGAAAACTAAGATGCATGTCCAAACGATCAGCAGTTTATTTAGCAAATGATCAGCAGTTTATTTAGTGGGATTTAGAAATGAGTGAGTGAGTGAGGATAGTTTTACGCCACACTCGGCAATATTCCAGCTATATGGCGGCGGTCTGTAAATAATTGAGTCTGGACCAGACAATCCAGTGATCAACAGCGTGAGCATCGATCTGTGCAATTGGGAACCGATGACATGTGTAAACCAAGTCAGCGAACCTGACCACCCGATCCCGTGAGTGGCCTCTTACGACAAGCGTAGTCACCTTTTGTGGCAAGCATGGGTTGCTGAGGACCTATTCTATCCCGGATCTTCATGAGTCGATTTAGAAATGAGCCCAACTAGTAAGTTTGAGAGAATTTAGAGGTATGGGGTTGATTATTGCTCTTATTTGCCTGGTGGGGGATGGGGTAGCCTAGTGGTTAAAAGCATTCACTCGTCACGCCAAAGACCTGGGTTCTATTCCCCACATGGGTACAATGTGTGAAGCCCATTACTGGTGTACCCCACCGTGATATTGCTGTAATATTGCTAAAAGCGGTGTAAAACCATACTCACTCACTCACTCCCTATTTGCCTGGTCCATACACTCATTTTAGAGGTTGCAGTGATATAGCTGTTGTAATGTAGACATCCTGTGTATGTTTGATATAACTGACCTTGACACTTATCTTTTGGCAGGTCGCAAACCCAAGAACCTTGATTACCCAATGAACAGCCAGCCTAAGAGGAAGCGAGAAGGCAACACAACATACTTGTGGGAGTTCCTTCTGTCCCTGCTGCAAAATCGCGAAACATGTCCTCGGTATATCAAGTGGACAAACAGGGAAAAAGGAATCTTCAAGTTGGTCGACTCGAAGGCTGTGTCGAAACTATGGGGCATGCACAAGAATAAACCCGATATGAACTATGAAACAATGGGAAGGGCACTGAGGTGAGTTTGATGATGGCATATTTTGTATGGGAAGCGATTGCACCAGTAAGCCTAGATGACATGCTTAGCCTAATGCACAGCAATGAAGTATTTGTAAAATAAAGAAGTTTATCATGCATAAAGTTTTGTCATCACAATGAAGTATTTAGTTTATATCATGATAAATATATCATTGGAGTTGATGACTGGTCACTGAAGCTTGTTCCAGGTCAGTTTAAATCAAAACCTGATAACCCTAAAACTGTAGACTAACTAATCTGGATGCTTTAGTAATGATTGATTATTTGAGATTCTTGAGAGGCATTTAGAAGTTGGTGAATATATAAGATGTGTATATGGATGGCAACATATTCTTTATTGTATAACACGTTTCTGGGCTACTTCTTGCCCCTTCTTCAGGCGATTGACCTGAATCTGGTGAAGGGACAAGAAGTAGCCCAGAAACATCGTGTTATACAATAAAGAAGAAGTTGCCATCCATATACTCGCCTTAGATTGATTATTTGTTTTTTACGGTTCTTAAGGTTTTGGTTTCATGTTTCTCAAATGACCTCATTCTGTTTATCTTTTAGGTACTACTATGCAAGAGGAATATTAAACAAAGTGGATGGGCAAAGACTTGTGTATCAGTTTGCAGAGGTTCCTAAGGGGATAGTAGAGATCGACTGCCATAGTTAGTGTGTGTCAGACCTGATGTGTACATGTTGACTGAGCGTGACGGTGCCTGGCACTGACCAATCATAACCCAGCACTTACACCAGCAACCCAACCACTGTGATAGATCTCCATATGCTCCAGACCTCATTCCCTGTCTAAGGACAGAGGCAGCAGGAAGGGTAATTGAGGGTGGGAGCTCAACTCTACCCCTCGTTCCCTGCTTCAGGACAGAGACTGCAGACAGGTGAAGGGGATGGGAGCTCAACTCTGTGCTTGTGATGGCCAACTTGGATACTAACAGTCTACACTGTCCCCCAGCAGGAGTCACAAAGATCCTGGAGACTGACTGAACAGACACACAACAGCACTATGCTAGTTGCTCCGGATCTGAGGCCGTGATGTCCAAGTGCTCTCAGAGTGCTATGAAGAGAACTAGAACGTCAGATGTCTTGACAATTGTGTTGGGCAGCTTTCTGTAGATATAGGCAGCATGCCCTTCTTATGGTGCTGTTGTTGCCAATGACAACAGAAGGACCCGTTTACTGATTGTAGTGGAATGGGCATCTGCCATTATGGACAACACTACCCTCAGTACCAGTGACGTCATGTATTAGCTGATATAGTGTTAACTGGTTGCTCTTTAAAGGAAAACAATTATTTTAGAATTGACAATAGCTGGTGATGAACCTGTTCTGCAGACAGTGGTCAGTTACCATGGTAACCAACATTAGATTATAAAGTCATCTTCCATTCCATAAATCACTCCATCAGTTTAGTTTTGCATACTGGGGATATTCCCTGAAAGGCCAGTACCTACCATGGAAATATTACAAAATATCTCAGTCGTGTGTACCCATTTTCAGACTGTGTGATTGCTATAGGGTGAAAGATGTAGCCGAGTTAAAAGAATGATGTGAAAGTGAGTGTGAAATGATGATTATGGCATGAGAAACTCTATGACCCCTTATGTTTACGAGTGGACATCAATCTAGGCATTGTTGCCCCCAAACTGTGTGATATGTAGAACCCTGTTGACGATGGGACTTGCCCGAGACTGCTATATGGGCTGCGTGATCCCATCAGAAGGCTTGTCCCGCTTGGGTCTGAAGTCATGAAGTATTGACATGTGAGGCCTCGGTGATGTGTTCTTTTGGAGGAAGAATCATATGTTGCTGCCCCTACTGTTTTACTTGCAGCAGAGGTTTTACTGGTTTTATTTGAGTTCAGTGGTGTTGACTGTTTGACAGCGTGTAACCTAGGCTCTCATCACTGACAGGATGTTGGGTGGACCACCTTTTATAAACATATTAGTTGTTGTCTTGTTGTATTGTTGATTATTCCAACAGATTTTATTGGTTTTCTGGCATGAGGCTGCAAAGGGATAAAATGTGACCATGTGCCCAGTTATCAGCGGTGTCATGGCCATGATGTCTGAAGGTCATCACTTGCAGCCTGCTGCCAGATGTAGAGACCCATTTCATGTTAATTTGTGTTGCGTCCTTACACTGACATTGCAGTGAGATTTTCTACTGCAGTTGGCTTCCATTGTTTTGCTGTGCATTCCAAGGTAAATCAGCAACCCATTCTTCTAGAATGCTGTGTTCATTTTGATAGCTTCACTGGTGCCAGTGACCACTCTTCTGTTTTGTATGCCCACAACATGGGGTCCCTAATCACCAGCATGTTCCTATCAGGTTCTTGGGCAGAGCTAGCAGTGATGCCCAATAGGTCAGATCTGTCAATGTGATGACCATTTGCGCCAAACATTCACATTGATGCCCATGGGTCTATTTCAAACCTGATCCCATACTCCTCTGGCAGACATAGCCTCCGTGGGTGGAATGCTGCATTAAATATGTAGATATGAAACAAAATGTATATTTTTAGGTAAATCAACTGCCAGGGCTGTCCATTTGAAAGTGTTCTGATGGTCAGGTTTGGTTGAACTCTGGAAGAAGTCTGACGAGTGATACCGTCAGCTGTAGTTATGACATAGATGTGCCTTAAAACTGTAGTGTATGCAGAAGCCAGCGCGCCTGCCCCCAAGAGATCATTGGCTTCCAAGCTCATGCTGTTTAGTGTGAGCTGGATTCAATGGTCTAATTCACTATAATGAAAACCTCCCCAACTTAATGACGAAGGTTAACATATATGCAGAGTATACACTTATACTAGTGTTTTGGTACCCATTCTAAGACAATAAACGCATGACGCACATGATTCACAGAGGTAATATTTATAGATTGGTACAGTTGTAGATTTTTACCTGTCTTAAAGAAACACTTTGAAATGGTAAAATCAAACTCGTAGTTTGTGCAAGTTTGATTTCATCTTCTGTAAAGTATGTTGAAAATGTCTCTTTCGATTATTTGTAAATCTCAATCTGATAATCTAATTTTGCTCATAGGAAAGATGAAAGTCTGTCTCATGATAATATGATATCTTCAATATTTGGGATACAAATTTTCAGTGTAAATTTATCTTTTGTCTCTTCAATTACAAAATCTTGAAAACATTTACCATCACGCCTAAAGTATATTTTGATTACATTACCGATGAAATTAAAAACTCAGTTTAACTTAATGATTGAGCCAAATATTTTATGGATTTGTTGTCTCCGTCAGGTAATGAAGAAAAGAGTGACAAGCTCAGACTGTTATGACCTTCAGTTTATATTTTCCTACTATTGTTACTGCTGTTTTGGTATATGTTTGTAAGTAATTAACAGTTAATTATCACATTGGGATCTGGCTTATCAGATTTACTTGTTAGTTTTGTGATGTCATCAGTAAATTATTGAAAGATTGTTCTGTTTTTATTGAATGTTATTGTTTAAAATGAATTCAGATGATTTAGGGAACAAGGACAAATTAGAAATGAAGTAATTTGGGAATCAGATTATGGACATTTTTCTTGTATGACAATTTGTACAGACTGATAAAGAACAATCTTTATGGAATATATGAAACGGGCAGTGGCCTCAATCAGCTGGTGAGACACTGGCATTACCAAGCAGCTTGTCCAGGTGGCTCCCTCTAGATTGTCTCTGTGTCAGTGACGTTGATTAAGAGTCTGGGCACGTAGGGTCGCAGTAAGCTTTGACATACATACCTCTACAGCATAGTTTGAAAATGTCAAGAGAATTGCATTTAACTTTGTCATGAAATTTATTGTCTACAGCTGCATGGCAGTCATGTTGACCCAACACATGCCCAGAGAGTGAAACAATTTCACCTATGCTTTCTTTACATTTGAGAGTAGGCTTGTTCTATTTGAAAAAAATGTCAGTGCACAGGAACAGGTTTACGATTTTGCCAATTTCGAAAGTATTGAGAGTTACCTGCTCATGGACACGAGAGGGAGCCACCTTGAATGATTTAACGAACAGGTTCAGGACCTTGTAGTCCACATTTACACATGTACAGTGCTACCTTGTTAAGGAAAGGATCTCTCTATTTGTACTGTAAAATTGTATATAATGCCTCTGATTGGTTAGATTTCTAATCAATTACATGTTATATCTGAATAAAGTAGTTAATTATTTTTGAAAAATATCTTCTGGTTGTGTGATCTTTGCTGCATTACAGGGACCGGTCATTTGTTTCAGGGAATGGTGTGTCAGGGGACAGAAGTGTTTCCTTCTTTAATCATTGTAATCATTAGAGGTACACAAAGTCTATGGTCAAGAGTACCAGTTGTCTGATTTCCATTTTAAATAATGGAAGTCGCTGTGGCTGAGTGGGTTAGATTGCTGACTTTGTGTGCTGGCGATTAGGTGCCTGATTCTGAGAGTGGGGTTCGAATCCCAGACGGGACTCAACCCAACAAAAGTACTATAGTCTGTACTTCATTGAGAAAGTGTAATCCCAAATATAACGTGTTGCACAGCTTACAGTCTCGAGGCCTCTAAATATAGTCTCTAAATTGATACATGAATTTCGGGAGAGTCTTAAAAATGAGGTAACAAAATTGTCTTTTCAGTGAGTGTTGTGAAGACAAAGGTTGAAGGGAGGGTCATTTAAATATGACACACGCATTGGGGGTGTCATTATGTCCAGAACGGAATGCTGGAAAGATCTCGGAATCACTTCTCATAGTAAATGATGGTCCCATGATGACATGCTATCAGCTGTGCTTTACATGGAGTATGTTTAGAGTGAGTGAGTGAGTTTAGTTTTTTTGCCGCTTTTAGCAATATGCCAGCAATAATCATTGAGGGGGACACCTGAAATGGGCTTTGCGCGTTGTACACATGTGGGGAATCGAACCGGGGCCTTCGGGGTGACTAATGCTTTAACCACTAGGCTACCCCACAGCTTATTGACAAGCTTTATGATAATGAACATTATATGTGGTCGGTTCCCGAACTTGACGACAGGGAAATAAGTGATTGGTGTACGAGGTGAACAGATACGAATTTTCATAATCAGTTCCTTGAATTAAAGTACCGAAAATGTTTGGGTTTCATGACGTAAGTGTGGCAGAGCTGGGAAGTCGGGCGTCTTGCTACTGTGCATGTTACATATTCGTTATTTTTTAGACCGGCAAGCCTACCTTGTGAAATGTGAGATACGCCCCGCTGGGCAAACCGTCTTGGACTAGATTCGATGTAAGGCGTGTCGTAACAATATCACTTATAATTACTTCTGACGTAGCTGTAATGTACCTCGAGGGGATACTGGCATGAACTGATGTTATTTTCATGTCCCAGTCTTTAGACTTCATGTCGCGTGTTACTGAGGAAAAGGGGCACCATAGTCCAGTCGTCTAGGAGACATTCGCTTTGAAGATTTCCGTCAGGATTGATGGTTTGAATCCTAGGTTCACCATGTATATCATTGGTTTGTTAGCTCCTAACGAAAAAGGGATAAACATCTAAGTAAGACCTTCGCCACTTAGAACCTTTCTCTTTCTAGCTGACAAGCCGTGATGTAACTGAACTATTATCACTTTGACAGCGTGAGGTAGCCTAGTGGTTAAAAATGTCGCTCGTCACACAGAAGACCCGGGTTCGAATCACAACATGTGTGAAGCTAAAAACTGGTGTCACCCGCCGCGATATTGCTGGAATGGTGCCAAGAGCGGCGTGAAACCACCAATTCGAGCTCACACTCATAGCAAAACGCTTGCTGTAGAAAACGTTCAATGACTTTTTTTTTAGTAATCGTGAAGTCTACACTGGTGTCATGTGTCATGACCCGCTATGGGGCCAATATTCACTACGATCTCGCCTAGTTACGGCGGCTGTCACCTTGGCTGTGGGCTGGTGTGTTAGCTAATTCTCTGGTTGCTGGTCCATAATGCTATGAAATGTCATTGCTATCAGATTTTGGTTGAACGACTGAGTCTAGACGGACTCGCATATACAGGCCAGACCTTTCCATATGGTATCTGACCGACGTGTTACGAGCGAGTAACCTAAGACTTGTAGGATTTGGGAGCATTGTGTCGACCTTGCCAACTGTAGAGATTAGGAGCAACCTTATACATCCGAAACACCCGGAATTGAGCCGGGGAAGTATCATATTAATACATTTAGGTATCTGTATGTGAACGATCTGTTATATGACTGTTCATGTACGAACATGAAAGAAATATCGGTGAAACATGAAGGTCATTGACCAAGGACGCCGATATTCGTGTTTGTGTTGAATAAACATTAGAACAACAGTATGAATAGAAGTGCCGTTGTGATAGGTTCCATCTATTAAGATGTATGAATGCATGTCATGAATTATGTCATGTTATGGAAGGTTTCAGTTTGCAAGCATTGATCTACACTTAAAAACCAAACCATAGAGACTATTGGTATATATGGAAAAATGTGTTGATAATTACCTGTTGTTATTCTTTCATTTTAATTATATAAAATATGTAAAATAGACCCGTGGCTGTCTTCACCTTTGGTAAAATGATAAATCAAGACGATGCACAGTAATGGCCCATATTGACAACAGGATCTGCGTCATTTAAGAGTGAGTCAGTTTTACGCCGCTTTCAGCAACATTCCTTCAATATCACGGCGGGGGACACCAGAACTGGGCTTAACATGTTGTACCCATGTGGGGAATCGAAACGGGTCTTCGGCGAGACGAGCGGACGCTTTAACCACTAGACTACCCCACCGCCCCTATGTTAGACAGTACAAAAGATAAAAGGTTATATTTTGTCACCAATCACGACTGGCCCATAGTCGTATCGTCAGCGTTTCGTCCCTTTAATGTACTTTAATCATGCCACTAAGTCGTGCAAATGTAGATAAAGAGTCTAACAGAGAGACTAGTTACTAGAAATATGTCTATTTTAAAGCTTGTTTTGCCACTATTTTAAAACTTAAAAATATTCAAAACCCTTTCAGTGTGACAGAAATGGCTCATTTCACACAGTGTACCTAGACCAACGCTTACTCTCTGTTTATATATAATTTTGATTGTAACAAATAAATCCTATTAAATAGAAAATAAGCCTAAGGGAGACTAAAGATTCAGAACCAGGGGAAATCTAGACTTGCTTCATTAAGTCTATAGCTGTTGTAAACTAGGCTGTGGGGAAAAAAATATCATTCCCGGACTGTGAGTCAGACTAACACCGCACCCTGCTCTTACCAACCGTTTGATGTTTAACTTACGACAAAGTCTATAATATGTTGTTAAAATATGATATAACTTTACCAAGCCACCAACAAATCAATATATGTCAAGGACAGGTTAACATGTATTTGTTGGCGCCATTACCGAAGATTTATCTTTATAAAGTTATATTAATTCACGCGTTTAGCCATGCATAGGATACCACAAACTCTTAAGTTCGAATGCACCAACCATTGACATTGCCGTGAAAGGATTTGTAATGACAGCTTTGAAACAGATCATACATTTATGTATTCTATCTCCAGGCTGGAGCAGAACCATGTGGCGAATATGTTATTATGATATTGACAGACACTTACTAAAAGTAACCACTGTTGCGGAAACTATCCATTTAGTGACATCGGGTCACATGCGTTGTGAATGTAGCATAAGGGAGACATTGTACAAGAATATCTATGATGGGTCACCCATGGTATATTGACAATAGACTGAACAGGTCGGTGACCGGAACCGTTTGATAGAGTCAATGGACACGTGGTCTATAACAGATACCGTCTTAACCGCCAGTAAACACTAATGTGCCTCCCTCCCTGAACTCCTTGATCCCCTGGAGTAATCATCTAGTATACTATCCTGGATAATTTACATTGCTAAAAGAATATTGCTAAAAGCGGCGTACAACTAAACTCACTCACTGTACCAACTTGGGCGCAGAAAATCTGTTTCAGTTGATATGAGCAATGGACATATAATGGAAGTAATAAAGTAGTAATGACGGTCATTGCTTCCTGAATAACCGGAAGTGCACGTGATAGAGGTATACAACATATGTCAATATGGTCGGATTTCCGGGTGATAAGATAACGCAATGCTGTTCTGTTTGCAGCCTTTATAAACTCCTAACCCATACAAGAAACACGATTGTCATTCATTAAGTTCAGTAAACATTTGTCTTAAAACTTTTATTTCCTCGACGTTTGATGTCGGTTTGTTCTTCACTGTTCTACCATTGAAGATCCGAGTTAGAATTGGTTTTCAGTAAGCTATGCTTGTTGTAAGAGGCGACTAACGGGATCGGGTGGTCAGGCTCGCTGACTTGTTTTTTTTTTACACATGTCATCGGTTCCCAAATGCGTAGATCGATGCTCATGTTATTGATCACTGGATTGTCTGGTCCAGACTTGATTATTTACAGACCGCCGCCATATAGCTGGAATATTGCTGAGTGCGGCTTAAAACTAAACTCACTCACTCACTCTCCTCTGTTCTATCTCTGAAATCAAACTTACCTTGTGTACAGTTCAGACTATACCTATTCATAGAGCGTTTTTTACAGAGATTACTTCAGTTGTGATTGTGTGTCAGACTTAATGAATGAATGTTCTTTTAATCCTCTATCAATAATATTCCCGATACTTCCAGAGTCAGGACCAGGTAATCAAGAGGTCTATAGCATGTAGAGCCCGGGACCAAGGGGGGTAATCAAGAGGTCGATATGTAGGGCCCGGGACAAAGGGGGCTAATCAAGAGGTCGATAGCATGTAGAGCCCGGGACCAAGGGGGGTAATCAAGAGGTCGATAGCATGTAGAGCCCGGGACCAAGGGGGGTAATCAAGAGGTCGATGTAGAGCACGGGGATCAAGGGGTAATCAAGAGGTCGGTAGCATGGGCCCAGGACCAAGGGGTAATCAAGAGGTCGATAGCATGTAGAGCCGGGGGCCAAGGGGGTAATCAAGAGGTCGATAGCATGTAGGGCCCGGGACCAAGGGGGTAATCAAGAGGTCGATAGCATGTAGAGCCCGGGACCAAGGGGTAATCAAGAGGTCGATAGCATGTAGGGCCCGGGACCAAGGGGGGTAATCAAGAGGTTGATAGCATGTAGAGCCCGGGGCCAAGGGGGGTAATCAAGAGGTTGATAGCATGTAGAGCCCGGGACCAAGGGGGTAATCAAGAGGTCGATAGCA